ACATTCTCTTTTTACAAATAAACATATGTTTACCAATTTAGAAAATCAATGGCTTTAACAAAACGTGGGTACATTTATATAAGTATACCCATGAATATCAAAACTCCATCATTTTACACACTTGAAAATTTAATTTTGAAAAATGGAGATTGGTTATTATTTGCTTTAAAAAAAAAAATATATATTTTTGTTTTTACTTTGCGAAAAGTAAAGTGGGTGTGTATTTTTATGAGATTAACAATTAAAAAAAAAAAGAAAGACACTCATGTCCGTTATAGAAGTGAAAAACGATTGCGAGATTCTTCTTTAGATAAAATAATTCTTTGTTTTACAATTTTCTGATAAAGTGTAATTAAAAAAAACAAGGCAATCGTTTGTATAAGTTTTTAATAAAGATATCAATATAATATATCAAATTCCTTTAATATAAAATATATTTATATCATATATAGAGGTTTTTTTTTAAATTTAAGATTTTGTGTTTTTAAAAATTTTTAGAGAAAAAAAAGTTGTAGTTCAAGGGTACTAAAGTATTTCGCTAGCGTAGAAATCGTCCCTCAATTAACCTTTTTAGTGACAAAAGGGTCATGTTTAGAGGGAAAAAGTAGTAGTTTAGGGGCTTGAAAGGGTAGGTGTAAAATATATAGTAGATAAATATTTCTAAAAAATTAATGATGTTAGAAAAGTAAATATCTTTACAAAGATAACTCTTTTTAAAGTTAGAATTGGTTACGAGTTTTTGCAATAGCAGGTAGAAATTATTGCGAAGGACCTACCATTTTAACCCAATAACATCGGGTCATTTATCCTAGTACTCTAATATTACTATAGAGAAAACATTGAAATAGATCAGAGATTCCCAAAGTGGTCTATATTGACCCCCAGGGGTCGACGACAACTTGCAAGGGGTCGATGTCAGCGAAAAAAAAAATTGTGGGTCCATGAAATGAAAATGGGGGTCAACGATAGTGGATCTCATGTAAGCAGGTCGTGACTTCTATTTTGGTATTCCATTAATGGAATAATCCACATACACAGATAGTACCTATTTACTTACATAATATTACCTTATAATATATAGACATATCTTCCTGCATAAATTATAAAAGTACCTATGAAGTAAAAAATTTAAAAACATAAATGTTCATGAAACGTGATGAAGCATCATATTAAAATTTAAGTAGAAAGTTTTTAATTGCTTTTCCATCCTCATACCTAGCTCAAAGGGGTTTGAACGCAATTACCAATCCTAACAAAAAAAAAAAAGAAACAAACTGGACATCATAAACTGAGGAGATTTGAGATTAAACCTAACTAAATTGATGCCAAATGTGGAAAATGTATTATAAGAGCATCAGTTTCATCCCTCACGCTAAAAGCATTTATTTTTTGCTTAGTTATTTTATGTAACAGTGACAGAAAGTAAATTTTAATTTGGTTCATTTTAATGTGAATTTAATAAATAAATGTATAAAACATAACATGTTTTTTAAAATAAATTTTATACACTAAACTTCACTACCATTATAAATTTAAATCTTTCAAAGTGAGTAGCACTATACTGGCTGTCAAAAATACATTTGAAGCTAATGAATTTGCAAAAAATCAATATCAGGTAAACAGGGGGTCTACCCAAAACTGAAAAACTTGGTAAGTGGTCTACGAGACAAAAAAGTTTGGGGACCTCTGAAATAGATAAAAGAAGTATGAAAATGAAAATATTTAAACTTTATTTAATTAAGAACTAGAAAATGTGAGCCGATCATACCCTGTTAATAATGGTTGGTATTTTGCTATACTTTCCATATTTATCTCCTGTTATATAATGTAGGCTTACCCTACTGCTTATCGCAACCGTGAACTACAATTTTTCTTCTGTAAAAATGTTAAAATCATGGTTTTAAATTTACAATAAAAATGTATATACAGACCTGTTTACCCCTCAAACTCTTAAAATCGTACAATATCATCACAAAATCGTTCAATACATTATCTTAATAGTAAGAAAATAATCATACTGTTACAATATGTATACACCTCAAAACCGTACATTGTACGTCAAAATCGTAAGAGTAAACAGGTCTGTATATACAATTTTTATCATCTTTTACATGAAGTGATTTGATATATTGGTATCGTCATTAAAAATTTAACCAAACCTTCGCTTCTTTACTTTATTGTTGGAAAATTGCAAAACACAGAATTTTTTTATTTAAAGAAGAATCTCTCAGCTCATTTTCATGCATGTAACATACCTTGTGTATTTTGTGATGAAATATTATTAGTCTCAAAAAAATGTACACTGGATTTTTCAAGAGCATTTTAAACAATTTTTCTTCACGCCCATGAAACGTAAATTGAAAAAAAAAATATGGCTCTAATTTTAAGATTAAATTTTTATGTGTGTAAAATGATTGGATTTTGATATATTTATTTGAGTTATGGATATACTTATATAAATCTATCCATGGTTTTTTAACACCCTCAAACTATATTTTCTTAAGTGGTAGAACATATATTTATTTTTTAAAAGAAAATGCAATATTTCTTTTTCATGATTTTAATATTTTATTTTAATAATATTTTCATCTACATAAGAATGTACACACTCTATTTCCCCCCAACTGATGTGTTTACCGAAGAAGGTTAATTATTTATTAAATGATCCCCTTTATTCTTATATGTCTTTTGCTTGCTGGGGCAAAATCCTCCTCCCACATAGTTTATAACAAACATTTTAATAAAGTCATCATGGGGTTGAAAGCCCACATATGAACGCAACCACACATTTTTTGCATGCCCTTGAACTTTATTAGAATTCTAAAGACCTAGCACACTTTTGGCATGCATTCTGTACAGTATATTGAATGATTATGGTTATATATTTCAACATTAAAATCTAAACCAAAGTTCAAATTGGGTTTTGAGATATTGATATCAAAATCAACCAATTGCAACTTCGTACGGTTTGTTCTTATTTGGATATGTGATAAGTGAATTAGTGAGTGCTATTTGGCTATGAGGTTTTAATACACCAATTGTCTTAGACAGCATTAACTTATTTGGGGGCGTCCATTTATTACATCAACAATTATTACGCAATTTTTGCCCCCC